GGGCCGGTCCACTCCCTGCTGCGCGCTGGCCCGGGCCCTGGGGGTTCCCGGCACAATGGCCCCGGTGGTTCTGGAATGCTGTAGACCCCTGCCTCCCCCCGAGGGGAGGTGGTGCCCAGCCCTGCGCCCGGCGGGGGTGGGGCGGGGCGGGGTGGTGGGGACTGAGCTGAGCTGAGCTGAGCATCGGCTCTTGGGCCCACCTACGTGGAGGCGAAGGGTCAGAAGGTCCCTCGCCTCGCCGTGGCTTCCAGGGTCCTCCCCAGGTCTTCCTGAGTTGTTCGGAGGGTCGGAGGCGTCAGGAGGGACCCAGAACTGTCAGTGTCATTCGGCTCGGTCCCGGGCGTGTGGGCGTGGATTGTGTACAGTGGAAAGCGAAGCCCGTGTCCAGCTGTTGTCCTTATTTGAGAGATGATGATGGGCCACGGTAAGGGGTGGAGGGGAGGGCAGGAGTGCTTAGCTGTCATAAGCCTGGCAGGAGAAGAGCAAATCAAATCTACATCAGTAGTTTTAATTCTGTTAATATCGTGCATGGGGGTTGAGAGAGAATTGGGATTGGTGAGCTCAGTTCTGCTGATGGTTTCCTCACCCCAGTAACTAAGTAAAACCTGTGACTCACCCACTTTTCCATGTTCTGCTTTTCCCAATGAGCTTCTGGTTTGCAGTGTCAACTGTTTTCTCCTTTCTCCGTGGCCTGGGTGTCACCACTGACAACACTGACCCTATTCTACAGGGGTCTGTGTGGATGTGACTAAGGCTTGATTTCAGGCTTATGTTCAAACTGGCAGGGACTGCTAATCTCCTATCCTCAGCTGTCCCCATAGTTCCGTTTCAGGAGGACCAAGTTGATTTTGAACACGTTTTAAAAAAAATACGAGTGATGCATTTAAAATTAGAATTTTATATAGTGTTTATAAATTGTTAAATTGAAAAAGCAAATACGAAGAGGAAGACATTATTGACTATCATAACTTCATATAAAAAACGTTCTAGTCAAATGATCATTTTTGGTAGTGTTTGGTTCAGAATGAACATTGACCTCCCATGAAGACCAGAACGTAATCATCATATAGTAAAAGTGCTTTTGGAGGTGTTCTTCTTTTGAATAATTTTGTTTTTAAGCAATAAGTGTGGCAGTTTGTGATATTTCAGAATTGCCTTTTCAATTATGTACTTGAAAGTTAGAGTTTTGGAACAGACCACTTTTAATCTTAATTGAATAGTACGATGTGTTATAGAGGTACTGTTGATAGTGATTGAGTAGTTTCTACTTACGTTTTAAACTTGATAAACATAAAACTAAACTTTGCTGTTAAAGGCCTACATGTTATTTTAATGGAAGAATCTGCAGAGTATTTTGCTTTATTTTTTATACAATTTCAGTAAAAAACAAACTGCAATTTTATTAATTTTAAAATTATGAAACAGGTTCTTTATAGAAAGAAATGTGTTCATATTAGAAGTACTATCTGTGCTACATGTGTTTTCTGGTAATAGTAATAACAATGGCCACAATGCATTTAAAATTTGTTGAATACTGTACCAAGTGATACATAATTTCATTTAACTCATACAATAATTCTGTGAAGTGTAGATATTTTTGCCACTTTACAAATGCAGAAACTGAGGCTTAGGGAGTTCAATTTACCCAAGATCACATAGCTAGTATGTGCTTGAGTCATATTTTGAACCTAGACTTTTTCTACTCCATTATTTTAATGACTTGAAATGAGCTGGAAATCTAAAAATAACATGCTCCAAGATTTAAAATTTTGACATCCAAACCTGACTGTGAATTGCAGTTAATAGAAAAAAATCAAATACTATGGGGGCATTATTATTCATTGAAAACATGTTAGATGCACCTAGTTTTTAAGGTCATGTCAAGTCCCATTATGATATCAGAGTGGAAAGAGACTCTCTGTACATGTTCATGGAAGAGTTCTTGGGGATAAGCCACTTGAAATTGAGCCATCTGTCCACTCAAGGACAAGCAGATTGATTTATGCTTCAGAAAGAAATGCTAGTTATTTGGTTCCAATTTAATTTCCATGTGTTGAAAGGAAGCAGAGATGGGCTAGCAGTGATCATAGCAGTTAAAACAACAATTTGTATTGAGAAATTAATGTGGGTCAGGCACTGTTATAAATCGTTTAGAAGGCATTATGTCATTTAAGCCTTTAAACATTTAAGAGGGTCCTTAACTATCTTCTTTTGATGCAGATATTGAGTAACTGAGGATAACTTATTTGCCCAAGGCTTTATAGTAAGTAATGGTTCACAGGAATTGGAATTAAGATTTTTGGGTGGTAAGGAGGAAAAAGTGTTTGAAAATAGAAGAGGTATGAAATTAAAGCTATAGAGAAATAGTTGATTTATTTAACTTTGTTATACTTTTATATCTTTATAACATTACATGTGCATTACAGTAAGTCAACTTCTTTAACAAATACCAGGAATTGATAGGAAAATTGCTGGAATAATGAGGGTTTACTAGTTCTTGATTATGAGCCTGAAAGCATAGATATGGCATTTAATGACTGTTACTCTAATGTTTTAAAGGACAAATTGAAAAGTACAATCCTCTGCTTCAGGAATTTCGAAGGCTAAGCCATAGTTTGTTTCATTAATTCCAAAAACAATTATCCAGACAAATAATTGATGTCAAAACCAGTTATTAATTACAATTTTATGCATATATTTAACATTACACTTATTTTTAAAAGTGATATGCAATAAACAAAGGAAGTGCTTGCACGTTTCTAGTGTCAGTTCTGCTTCTAGCTGGAGTTGCATGATTTTGGCAAACCATTAGCATCTCTTCCATGCAGATTTATGCATTCAAGGTTAATCTAATGAAGGATTTGGGCTACATGATATATATATACTAACACTGTCTCCTGTGTTTATAACTCATTTTTCACTTTAGTATCTCTGTTTACCAGCTATTTGAGATGGCACAGATGCTTTCATGTATTTTACATATAAATATTTCAGTCTCATATATAAACTACACTTATTTCTGATTTTGTGTTATTGGGAATAACTGGTTGCTTAAAAAAAATCAAAACTAAAATGTGTCTGGTTCTAATATCTTTGGGGCCTTAACAAATTACTTCACTTCCCTAGCCTCTGTTTTCTCATTTATAAAATGGAGCAATAGTAGTATCTAAATGATAACATTCATGTAGTAAAGCATTTATTTTAAGGCCTACTAGAGAGTAAGTGCTTAGCAAGTGTTTAACTGATACTGTCATTGTTGTTTATTACTTTCAAATATTAAAAATTCTGATTTGTGATGGCTACAAACTTAACTTGGCATGTAAATCTGTTACAAATCAAAATGTGTAGGTCAGTTGTGTACAAAACTAAGTAACCATACATTAGTTTCAAAATAATGGGATGATGTATACTTTGAAAATACCAACTTAAAGTGGTTCATCTGAATCTTCCCTCCCCAGTCATCTTTCTTGATTATTTTTTTTAGCATCTTAAGGTTTTAAGGTCTATTTAATGTCTTAACTCAGAAATTTATACTTTCATTCATTAAAGTTCCTGGATTTCCTATAACTGCATTTAGAAATTTGAATACTGAGTTAATATTGAAGGATTAATAATACTTAGATTGGAACTTAAATATGGCTTGTAACATTTGTTATATTTATAAACTTCAAATTTGGGAAAGATTTAATTATTTCTGTCTATAAAAGTTATTCTGTAAGTGAAAGTATTTTATAGTTAGGCTCTTTGTTACTTCTCTAACCAAAAAAGTCTAAGATAGGTATGGCTTATGCTAATTCTAACCTATTAGTAGTGTTGCAGAGAGTACTTATTTGGTACTGGCATTATTATTATTATTATTTATTACATATATGGTTTTAAAAATGTTAGGAATCATGACCTAACTTTTTATTTTATGGAAATGAAATAGTTTGACATTGGCAGTATGTAATTATAACCTGGTAAAATATATATAAGTTTGAAAGTGTACTTTCATTGGTTCAATGTAAAGAATAAAAATTTGTATAATTATTGACTAGTAAATTGATTTAGAATATAATTGCTGATACATTTTCAAGCATATAGTAATATTATAATACATTTCAGAGTAATAGAAAAACAACTAAATGAAGAGGATATACAGATAGCTGACATGAAGATCAACTAACTTGAGGGTGACTTAGACACAGTTTAAGAGAGAAATGTTTATTTGGGTTTTAAACAGTAGTGAACAGATGAGAATTCTGAAGATAGAGTGGCTTTTTGGCCATGTTTTTTCTGAGCTATTGGACAGATAACTAAACCTCTTTCACTTAATTTTCTTATAAAATGGTAATAATGAAGGCTATTCTATGAAAAGTGATAGCATTATTAACCCTAGCTCACAAAAAAAAAAAAAAAAAAAATTAAGGTTCAGAAACATGAAATGATTTACTCAAGGTCACAGGTAGCCTTGAAACCCTTGTTTTCTTATTCAAATTCAGTTGGATTTCTATATTATTAGTTGTAAGGTGATATTATGCTAAACATTGTAAAATACCCTTAATTTCAAATAACTAATTGGAGACAGCTGAAAGAAAAAGTTATGTTTAGTCATGTAGAATGAAAATAATAGATTAAACTTTTCTGATAAGAATAATATGGGGGACTTACTTTAAAGAACAAAAAATTGCAAAGTAGTATGAATATATACTTCTAAAATGCCTTGCTATTAAAAAGCTTTTCCAGCTTTATCTTCACTTTTAAATATGTCCTGGCTTGGAAGAAGGATTATTTAAAAGATGGACTATATCCCAAGACTGTCTAAATTAAATTTCACCTAAGTGGAGTACAAATAAATTAATCTTCTTTAGTATTTTTAAGGAGTACTATAACATCTAAATTTTATAGTGGGTAGGCTATGTGTTGTAACTTAAGTTTTTTAAGTGCTTGTTTTATTTCTAGCTGTGAATTTCTTTGGACAATTGATATTTATCGTTGTGCCCAGTTTCTACAATTAAAACATGGGTGGATTATTTTCCCGATGGAGGGTAAGTTACTTTTCTTTACAGTCAGTTTTTTTAGTCTGATATGAAAGTGTCCAAAAAAGCTATTTGTGAAAGTCTCTTTTGTGATGTAGACTTGAATAGTAGTTTGATATTATCCCTGACTGTAATTTTTCTTTCTTCTCTTACAAATTAGTTTTTATTTGGACTTTAGAGTTCTACTTGCTATATAGGTATCTAATGTCTCTGTTTAACAATTATTTCATTTTGACTTATGAATTGCTTTTATTTCTCTATGTATTCATGTATGAGTAGTTATCTTTTCTTCTCATAATACCTAAATTTCAATCTTATTTGAAAGATAGTTGAAATTAGTATTTTATATGGTACTTAACTTTTTACAGGTTGTATTTCTTTGCTTAAAACTAGTCACAAATATTTACTGGAGTCACACTAAATATACTTTCAGGAAATATAGGTTAAACAGATTTAAAAATCCAGTCTGATTTTAATTGGTTAAGTCTTTAGAGGAAATAGCTCAACTTTAGAGCTAGAAAATATAAAATACATTGATAAATGTTCTTCTCTAATATAAGAGGAGGTAATATAGCCTAGGAAAAATTTCTTCACTTATTTTAGACTCCTTTTTACCATAATAATTGAGTCTGCTACTACTTGGTACAGATTTTGTTTTTAAAAAATATATTTTATTGATATTTTACAGAGAGGAAGGGAAAGAGATAGTCAGAAACATTGATGGGAGAGAAACATCGATCAGTTGCCTCCTGCACACCTTCCATTGGGGATGTGCCCGCAACCAAGGTACATGCCCTTGACCGAAATTGAACCTGGGACCTTCCAGCCCTCAGGCCGTAGCTCTATCCACTGAGCCAAACCGGTTAGGGCCAGAATTTAGCATTGAACTATTACTGGAATTGCTGTGTTTTGGATTGGCATTATATTGATCCCTGCCCCCTTTGGAAACCTTTTTACAGAAGATCAAATTTATCTACTATTCTTTTGTCTCTTGTGTTAAGTTGGACCATATGAAATTGCCAATTTTCACCAGCTTTGACTTACATAAATAGCAATTTCATATGGTTCAACCTAATGTTAGCAACTCTTGTGAGAATGACAATGAGTTGATATTACCCACTTAGATTGTTGAGAACATTTTCTCAAGTGTTGTATGAGTCATTTTGGCTGGTTTTTATTCTAGGTGGTATTAAAAACACCTTTAACAAACAAGCTCTGCTTTAATGGAAGTAATTTTAGATGCCCTTTTAAAATCTGATCGTCAGAAAAGTACTTTAGGAATTCAGAATGATTTTGACCTCCAGAGTCCTAAGTGAAGTTTTAGCAATAGAAAATTGACTAATTTTAGTCTTAAATTATTAATATATGAATTTTTAAAAATAATAATATCTAAGAAAAATTTTCTTGGAGGAAAATTGATAAAAATATGTTTTGTTGGGTTTAGGAATGGTAAAAATTGAGCTATCGATTAAAGGTACTTATAGGACTAAAAAGACATTAAGTGGAAAATGCTTATTTAATCTTATATAATCTTGTTTATAATGATAATTTTTATTTAAATCTAAATCTTATTTATAAATAAACAGGGATATATATTGTTTGACAGCATTTGAAAAATAATTTTGGATTAAAGTGTTATGATTATATAAATCAAGGTATTTCTAAATTTGTAATAACAAGTTTTAATGCTGTGTCTTATTTCTGTTTCTATAACAGACAAAACCTTCAACTGTAGAAGTTCTGGAAAATATAGATAAGGTAAATTCTTTATCTCTGGAGTGTTTTAAATCTATTTTAGGTATTATGTAAATATTATTTTAATATATATTATTTTGGAGACTGGATCTGGTAGGAAATTTAGAGATGATAAAGAGTAAGCATGAAAATTCTGATATTACATAATCTCAAAAAAATCCAGTCTATCACTGATTTAAGATTGTGCCAAGCGATAGAGCCTGTTCTAATGGAATTAGATGTGTACAGCATTATGTAAATCAATGTTACAGATAGGCTAAAGAAGATTATAAAATAGTCTGCAACAATTTTTATTAGTCTGCAAACTTCACAGCTTTTTATGCTTTCTATGATTATTAAAAATGGCTATTTCATGGGAATACTGAGAGTGATGAATGGATTGGAAGAATACAGTATAGATCACTGTTTCAATATTTATTCTTTTTATAGTCAAATATTTTATAGACCTTATATAGGAGAATTACTATTTATTTGATTTAATATTATTTATTGATGCTAGTTTCATACCTCCAATTTTTGCTAATTTTTGATAGGTTAAAAATTGTATCTTAATATATTGCATTTAAAAAAGGGATTTGTCAGAATAGGTATTTTTATTTCTTTTTAATTTTAGTTTTTCATATTATGTTCTGTTTTAAAATATTAAGGTATTATATTTCACTGAAATTTAAGAGTTCTTTCTATATAATCTCCATCATGTGAAAAATTTTTGTCAGCATGTTTATGAAATTTGAGATTAAATAGTATAAAATAATTTTCTCTTAACAGGAAATTCAAGCATTGGAAGAATTTAGGGAAAAAAATCAGAGACTACAAAAATTATGGGTTGGAAGATTAATTCTTTACTCCTCAATTCTCTATCTGTTTACATGTTTAATTGTATACTTGTGGTATCTTCCCGATGAACTTACAGCAAGACTTACCATGACACTCCCATTTTTTACTTTCCCACTGATGTAAGTAAATTGTTCTTTTTATTGACATTTTCTCTTTCTGATTAGACAGTTTTAATATATTTAGTCTTTTTTTTAATTAGAAAAAAAAATGTCTCAAATTGAATAAATATGTTTTGTTTTTGCATTTTGAAAAATATTTCTTTAAAAAAATAAAATGATGATGTAAGCCTTTTCTTATAGTCAACATACTTGAGGAATATGACCAAGTGACACAAGTATTATAATAAAGACTATGGCAATCTTTTGTGATTCCCAAATAGAGGTCATGCTTCCCTACGTGTATTGGGCATGGAGTGGGCATTTAAAATTGTGGGTAGTGGCTGAAACCAGTTTGGCTCAGTGGATAGAGCGTCAGCCTGAGGACTGAAAGGTCCCAGATTCGATTCTGGTCAAAGGCATGTACCTTGGTTGTGGGCACATCCCCAGTAGGGGGCGTGCAAGAGGCAGCTGATAAATGACTATCTCTTTCCCTTCCTCTCTGTAAAAAATCAATAAAATATCTAAAAAAAAATTGTGGGTAGTGGCAAGTGGGGGGGGGGATTATAAAACAAACAAACAAAAAACAACTGCCCCAATGACTCTGAATATATTCCATTCATCCTACTTGTTTTCCCTTTTTAATCACTGCTATAAAACAATTGGCCCTAGAAATATTTTATAATATAGTCCACTATAGAAGATGCATTGTGATAGGAGAATTGAATAAAAAAATTTGTCCAGTCATTACACCTTTATGGGTACCAATTGCATAGACGTTGGTTTATAATGGTATATGGTATATGGTATATGGTACACAAAAATACATATTTTACAGAGAGGAAGAGAGAGAGATAGAGAGCTAGAAACATCGATGAGAGAGAAACATCGACCAGCTGCCTCTTGCACACACCTACCGTGGATGTGCCTGCAACCAATGTACATGCCCTTGACTGGAATCGAACTCGGGACCTTTCAGTCCGCAGATTGACGCTCTACCACTGAGCCAAACCGGTTTTGGCTCAATGTATTCTTTAAGTCCTAAAAACAACATCAAAATTCAAGAGTTGAGAGATCTGTCTAGTAATTTTTCTGTATAAGAAGAGAATAAAAATGCAAAATCTGTAAAGTAAAAGGCAGCATGATTTATTTAAGGGTAAAAAAAGATAGGTATGTCTGGCATTTGTAATGGAGAGGAAGTGAACTTTCAGAATCAAGGTAGGATCTAGATCATGGAGAATCATGGAGAAAAGTTTTAATTTCATTTTGGGTGAAATGGGAAGCTTGTAAAGGTTTTAGTGGAAGAATGGCTTTCGATTTAAGTTAAAAGGATCATGTGTGCTGCTTTGTAGAGATTAAGAGAAGGACAAGAGTAGAAACGGGGAGGAGACTATTATAGAAGTAATCTAAAAATGGAAGATGGGTTGGATTGCCTAGTGGCAGTTGGAAATGCGTAGATGACTTGTAAATGTTTTGGAAGTAAAACAGTTTGTTGGGAAAAAGTAAGAGGTAAGGGAAAAGGAGGAATCATGGTGGTGATTCTTAATTTTTTTTGGTTTGACATGGAGGAAGATAGGATCTTTTAAAAAAATATTTTATTGATTTTTTACAAGGAGGAGGGGAGAGGGATAGAGAGTTAGAAACATCAATGAGAGAGAATCATTGATCAGCTGCCTCCTCACACACATTCCCCGCCCCCCATCCCCCAGGGGATGTGCCCTCAACCAAGGTACATATCCTTGACCAGAATCGAACTTGGGACCTTTCAGTCTGCAGGCTGATGCTCTATCCACTGAGTCAAACTGGTTTCGGCAGGATAGGATCTTTTTAAAAATATATTTTATTGAGTTTTTACAGAGAGAAAGGGAGAAGAATAGAGAGTAGAAACATCAATGAGAGAAACATATATCAGATGCTTCCTGCACACCCCCTACTGGGGATGTGCTACAACCAAGGTATATGTCCTTGACTGGAATCAAATCTGGAACCCTTCAGTTCAATGCGATGCGCTATATATGAGCCAAACCAGTTAGGGCAAGGATAGGATTTTTTTTCCTTAGGGAATAAATATATATATATTGTCTCTTTAGTCTTTAGTGTAAGGTATATTTTCAAATTGGAACTCCTGGAGCTCATAACATTTTAACTTTGTAGGTAGAAAAAAGAACCAAAAATTGAATGCATATGTATTACAGAATACTAGTAAATGTCTTGTCATTTTATTTTCCTTTGGAAATCTTTGGAATATTTCTTACTTTAGATCTAGTAGCAGACTTTATAATGCTATGCTGCTTTCTCTTATTTTCCTTGTATTTTTTCATAAATAGATGGGAGAAAAGAAATTGGCATTACTGTGCTCATTTTAATGGCTACCCACACACTGTGATTTACTGGATCTGCTGTTACAATTCAGAAGACTTTTTTTTTGCAAATCATATACTAATTGTTTTTAAAAGTAGAAAGATTTCAATTCTTTAAAAATGTTTGTTTTTCTACCATTTTGAGTATGAAGCTTTGTTATTCTTACTATGTCCCCTGACTGTTCTGCATCACTTGCGTCTAGTATTTTTTTGGCTGGTTAAGCTTCAGAGCCATTTCTCACTTTGTCTCATTCATGTCAGTGACTTGGTTCTCAACTGCTGCAGCTTCTATTTCAGTGAACTTTCCTCCCTTGGAAGCATAGACCAGTTACCCAACAAAGAATAGAATTGTCCTTCTGATTGATGACAATCAAAACAGCATGAAATAAAATACAACAACGTGAAAGTGGATATTGTGGTAGATAGAAGAAAGACTTACCAAAGGACATTTTCTTTTGTGTGTAGTGTGAGTATTGCTCAAGCTTATCCCTGGAATCTTTTCCTTTGGAAATCAAAGTTTTGAGGTCTGGACCAGGGTTTGCTTAAAGAAATGAAGGCAAAATGAGCAATAAAATGTATTGTTTTATTTATCACTGTCTTCATTGATTGCACAGCTTACAAATCCATTCAATAAGTGAAAAAAGTGACTGCTGTCTCTTCAGTCTAAGTTTTCCACATTTTCTGGGATGAGAAGTCATGGGTTCAGGACTAAGCATATATTGCATAATCATAACTGTTTCAAAATTATCTTTTATGAGAAACTAGAGGCCCGGTGCATGAAATTCGTGCGTGGAGGGGTGGTGGCGTGTGTGTCCTTCAGTCCAGCCTGCGCCCTCTGCAATCTGGGAGGGGTGGTATCTGGCCTAAATGGGCAGCCAGACATCCCTTTCACAATCCAGGACTGTTGGCTCCCAACCTCTCGCCTGCCTTTCCTATTGCCTGATTGCCCTAACTGTCCTCCCCTGCTGGCTGATCGCCCTCAACTGTTTTCCCTTCCAGGCCTGGTTGCCCCCAACTGCCTTCCTCTGCTGGCCCGGTCACCCCTAGCTGCCCTTTCTTGCCAGCCTAGTTGCCCCCAACTGCCCTTTCCTGCCATCCTGGTTCCCCTCAACTGCCCTCCCCTGCTGGCCATCTTGTGACGGCCATCTGTGTGTTAGAGTGATGGTCAATATGCATATCACCTCTTTATTATATAGGATTACCAACCCTATATAATAAAGAGATGATATGCAAATTGTCATTACGTTGTGAAGTGTAACGACCGACCGCATAACAACCGGATCTTGGATCAGCAGGAGTGTGGGGCAGCGAGCTATGAGGGGGATTAGGGGGCTGAGGGAGCTACAGTAGAGCAGGGCAGTGGGCGAAGAGCTACTGGAGGGCTGCAGGGAGCTACTGGCGAGCTACTGGTGCACAGATTTATGTGCAGGGCTACTACCTTGTTTCCCCGAAAATAAGACAGTGTCATTAATTTTTGCTCCCAAAGATGCGCTAGGTCTTATTTTCAGGGGATGTCTTATTTTCGGGGAAACACGGTAGTATATTAAATAAGATACCTAGCCTGCATCCTCTCCAATCTGGGATCCCTTCCACAATCCAGGACTTCTGGCTCCCAATTGCTTGCCTACCTGTCTTCTTTATTGTCCCTAACTGCTTTTACCTTCCAGCCTGATCACCTCCTAACCACTCCCATGCCAGCCTGATTGATGTCTAACTGCTCCCCTACCAGCCCATTTGCTCCCAACTTACCTCCTCTGCCGGCCTGGTCACCCCTAAATGCCCTCCCCTGAAGGCTTGATCTTCCCCAACTGTCCTCCCTTGCAGGGCTGGTCTCTTTCAACTGCCCTCTCCTGCTGGTTATCTTGTGGTGGCCATCTTGTGTCCATATAAGGGCAGGATCTTGTGTCCACATGGGGGCAGCCATATTGTATGTTGGAGTGATGGTTAATCTACTTATTACTCTTATTAGATAGGATGTCTCTGATCTTTGCAATTTGTACTAAAATTGAAATTATAGTATAAATGCTGGACTTATTTCATAGGAGTATTGAGGCTATGCTTAGTGAGGTGGAATAGGCTATAGTTAAAGTTTTGTATTTCTACATTATGCTGGCAGATATGCATTACCTTGAGAGTTGGTTCATTTTCTAAGAGTGAACAACTGTGAAGCTTTGTTTCCACCTTGATGGACTCTACAAGCAACCTTATAGACTTTTACTCCTAGATACCTTATTTTTATAGATTATAACTTTCTAGAAGTTTCATTCGCTGTAAGATCCTTTTAGAAACCAATTAGCATAAAATGTTGACCCTCCCAGAGGATTATTTTCCCTGTGTTTTTTCACCCTTTTTTTTTTTTTTTTTTTTTTTGCCTCTTAAACGGGGTTATTGGAGTGGGGGAGTGGATTGTAAGCAAAAGAACTGAGGAAAGTGGTCCTATTCCTATTTTGTGTGTTTTCTTGTTTTTCTGTCACAGTGATTTTAAACCTTTTTCATCTCCTGGCTCACATAAACTAATTACTAAAATTATATGACACATCAAAGAGTAATCTTTTGCCAATTTGACAAAAAGAAAATTAAAAAGGTATAATACTGATTTACCGCTATTATTGTGTTTGCTGTTGACATTTTTTATTTGACAGTGTAAGGGAAAGAGCTCAGTGC